AATAATATTTATTAACTATAAATATAATATTATAAATAAAATTCTAATTGACATATTTAATAAAAATATATACATTTAATCTAAATATTCAATTAAAATGTTTATAAATAATAAGAATTATAAAATACAAATAACATGAAATAATAAAAAAAAAAACTGCTCCGAGTAGAATCTCATAATTAAACAGCATAATTTTATTTAGTTTATGATTTACAAGCGACATGGCAACTTGATGCGTTAATATGCAATGTGCATCATAAGAGTGTGTTAATCTAAGTTTTATATTTCATCCAATCAGAATTCAGCACTTGAACTATCAGTTTTATAATCCAAAATTTTCATATAGTATTACAAAGTAATAATTACACTAATAATATTATAAGAATAGTAAAAGCTTTGAAAATTCCAGCCACAAAATCTGATTGGATCCCTTATGGATCATTAATTAGAGTGGAATCTGTCTGCCGTCATAACAGACGGACTGTGCTCTGGCCAGAACATTCATGTCGGGTCTGATGGGGTCGTCTAGGACACCAGGACAGATGGTCACATGACTAACAGCTCTCTGCAGTCTGAGCAAGATTAAAGGATCGGGACGCTACACATCCACACAGCCGGAGCCACAGCATCCATTTGGAGAAGATGCCTGAGCCATTAGAGGAACGTCTTCAAGAAGCTCAACATCCATCTGGACCCAAGAGCACTGATTTATGTCACTTACACAAGAGAGTGACACAGAAACATGGAGAAAGAACGCATCCCAAACTAATCAAAAACACGTTTTTAAGGGGTTTTAGTGTTTCCAGATGTGTTACTCTCACGGTTTTCACACTGATCTCACAGAGCTGAAGGCAAATCATTTCATCCGTGTTTTCTGGCTGGGGTGTTTTGGTCATTTTTAACTCCTGCAGACCTGTGAGCTCATACACTCGCTTGTTTGCTGCTCGAGAAACAAACAGAACAGAAAGGAGCACGGACGGCCGCTTTTTATAGCCATCTGAGTCTGTGCATGCCCACAAACCCCACAACAAACAACAGTGATCATTCACAGCTCAAGAACATGTCTAGATCACTTTTGACTTCAAAAATAAGAAAAAACAACAACATATTTGATTTTGTAACCCTTTTGTAAATTATAACCCTTGTGCTGTGCTGAAAATCCTTTACCAAATTTGCTGTTCCCAGTCAAAAATGACTGGCATTTTAAAAATTGCATTATACTATAATATTACAAATATTCTTGGATGCAATCTTTTTATCAACTTGTTTTCTTTCAATTAGCACATGTTTTGTTCTTATTGGAACCGATTGACCGTAGACCTCATTGATATGAGATTATGCACCTCAGTTTCTGAGTGAAAAAATCCAAAATTATCCACACATTTTTTTGCATTATTATTGATTAATATTGGAAATGTTCACTCAAAAACTGAGGTGAATGAGCTCAGAGCAATGAGGCCTTCGATCAGTCAATGCCAAAAAGAAATACAAAACCTGTGCTAAACAAAAGAAAACGAGCTGACAAAAAGATTAAATCCAAGATTTGGTAATAATAATTAGGGGTGCGCGATATTGACAAAAAATTATATCTCGATATTTTCTGGGATTTTATCGATAGATAGATAATTTTATTTGTCCTCAGAGAGGAAAGTCATTTTCACAGAAGGTGCGTATACAACACAAGGACAAGTACCCATTATGTACAAACTTGTCACAATACATTCACGAACAACAACAAAAATTACGATTAAAGATTACGATAATTAGATGATATTTTGCTGAGTGTGTTATTGTACTGACATCTTAAGGACTACCGTGGACAGCTGACTCCTAATGTTTTTGATATTCTTCATATTCTGTGTGGTGATGATCAGTTCACAGTAGTGACAGAGATGAATCTTTTCCAATAATTTTAAATTGATTTTTACCTTTTATGGGCATTGTTACCTTTATAAAGCCATTTTTTCTAAAAGTATGCATCATCTTTAACAAAATTCATCTTTGCAATGCAGAGGAAACACAGAAGCTGCATCTGAAGTGGCATTTAGATGTGTTTCCACACTGTTTAATTCAGCTCAGAGGGACATGCAATGATTTAACCTGCAGTTACAAATGCATAAATAATGTTTTGATAATTTAAACATAAAACGTTGAAAACTGATATTTGCGAGTATTTTAAAAAAAAAATTTTTTTTTTTACTTTTCATGTAATATTAATTAACTATATGAAATGATATAAATGTATACATTTTCTGCCCCCATATCTTGAATTCTAACCTACTAGACTTCATCACGTAATGTAAGCGTGCACTCTGTAGGTGTGTTTTGTTTGGTTTTTGCATATACTCGATAAAATCAAATCGCACATCGTTAAAACAACAATTATGATATTATCGTAGATATGTCTTTTTCTATCAATTCTTCAATAGGTAGATCTTGTCTTTCATAAAGGCCGAGGTCAGGGATCTTGGGCCTAAAAAGGTTGGTGACCACTGTCGTAGATGATATATATATCGCACACCACTAGTAATAATATAGTGTAAACAGAAATTTAAGCAATAATTTTTTTGCATGGTCATTTTTGACTGTAAACAGCACAAGTATAACAAGATGGGGGACAACATTTTTTTTGGGAAGTTGTTATACCCTGTGTGAACAAAGTCAGTAAGTTTTAGTTCAATGTGAAAACATTAATAGGAAAAATAAAATCCTCTCCGGGCCAAACGACTGGAGCACAATATGAAGGTTAAGGAAAATCAAGCCTATTTTCAGGATCATAATGCAATTATATACTGTGACGTTATTTTCATTATAATTAAGCACACCACTTCCCATATTCTCATTATCGTAATGTATATATTAAAGGGGTCGTATGATGCAATTTCAAGTTTTCCTTTCTCTTTGGTGTTACAAGCTGTTCGTGCATAGATAAGATCCTTAAAGTTGCAAAGACTAAAGTCTCAAACCCAAAGAGATATTCTTTATAAAAGTTAAGACTCGTCCACACCCTCGTAAAACGCCTCGTTTAAACACTCCCCCACTTGTCTACGTCACTGTGTGGGAAGATTTGCATAACGCCCCCCAAATGTTCACGCAAAGAAAGGTCAAGGTCATCTTTATTTATATAGCACCTTTAAACAACATGAATGCTGACCAAGGTGCTTCACAGTAACACAATACAATTATAAAAATACAATTTAAAGTTAAAATTTAAATCAACAGCTTAACCCATAAAACCAAATAAAAATCAGGAATAAGAATTGAACTCACTAAGATCAACATATCCAACAAATTATAAATAGGCCTGCGAGAAGAGATACGTTTCAATGATGATTTAAATGCAGATAAAGAAGATGATAACCTAACAGACTGAGGTAACGAATTCCACAGCTTAGGGGCTAATACAGAAAAGGCTCTGTCACCTTTAGATTTCAAACGAGATAATGGGACGGTTAATAGATTATCAGAGGATGATCTAAGAGATCTCCGGGGTCAGTATGGACAAATAAGGTCTGAGATGTAGACTGGATAAGCCTTGTTGAAATGAAGGCATGAATAACTGTCTCTAGATCACTAAAATATAAAAGAGATTTCAGTTTACGTAAACCCCTAAGCTGGAAAAAAATAGCTCTAACAACAGAGTTTATTTGCTTGTCTAATTTTAACTCTGAATCAAAAACAACACCCAGATTCTTTACATGAGTACGGATATGTGCTTGCAAGGATCCTAAACTAGAGGAACTGCCGTCAACCAAATGGGGGGAGCCAAATAGAATGACTTCAGTCTTCTTTTCATTTAACAGAAGAAAATTGTCACCCATCCAGCTTTTAATGTCGTTTACACAAGCAAGCAAGTCGGATAAGGACTTTGACCCAGGTTTAATTGACATATACAACTGGGTATCATCCGCATAAATGTGATATGGGACCTTGTGAGACTCAAAAAATGTAACGAAGAGGGAGCATATATAAAGCAAACAAAATCGGGCCCAAGATGGAGCCCTGCAGTGTTAATTTTGACAGGCATTTTTGATGTAGAGTCTTTCATAGTTTTAGTCGATGAAGTTATTGCATTTTTGTCAACTTTTAGTCATTACTTTTAGTCAAACTGCAGTTACCAACATTTATTTTGGTAGCTATTTTACATGTAGTCTTCAAACAAAAATAGTCATTAATTCTTCTTTCTTTAGAGCAAATCAATTAAGCTTATGAGAAATTTGAATCAAGGATTGAATTTGGAAAAACTTGAATAAATGATGACAATTTTAATTTTTGGGTGAACTATCCCTTTAACAGTAGTGAAAAGGGAGCAACTTATAAAAATTATAGTTGTTCATATATAATATATATATAATTTATAATTTTTGAAAAAGAAGCAGAATAAGACAAATATGAAATAGATACAGTAGGTTTACTTAACATAATTATTTAACATATTTTGTTGTTTAACATTAATGGCACTAGCACGGGTAGTTACTTAATTAGGAATGCTGTCCCTTTAAGACAGAAGGCATGCATGTAATACTGACACACGTTCAGTTTTCACCCACCTGTTTACGTTCACTTAATCCATAACCGACTGTATTTACGTGAGATACTCTACACGATAGACATTTGGACTGCTGTGTGTGTATTTGAGCACTGAGAACTGATCGCGCGCTGTATATGAGAACTGAAGAAGTGGAGCGTGCGCGAGAGAGAGCACTTCTATCAGCACAATTCTGTCTATCCTGCCTTCACTAACTTTAAGTTAATCGACAACGAATTGTGACTCCTGGGAAAAATGGGACGTCTGGTCACCTTATCCCTACCCCTTCGGGTGCTGAGGCCATTGTTTCAGATTGCTAGTTCGCGTTTTGGTGGCCTATCCATCCGCTGCGGCTGCCATACTGAGACTAGACAGGCAAACGCCCCTTATCCGATTGCAATCCAATGACAGGGACGCACATTTTGAAGGACAAGACAGTAGCCTATAGGATGTATTTTGAATGTCCGGTTGTCCTCAAATAACATTATAGTTCCGTCTCGTCTCGTTAACGAAGACGCGGCATACATTTCGTCATAGTTTTTATCATCAGATATTAGTTTTAGCTCTTCAACGTCTCGTCTTAATCACAGAAAAAATGTCCGATAACGAATATTTTTCGACGTCGTCTTAATTGACGAAATTAACACTGGAGCCCTGCGGCACCCCACCAGTAACAGAGGCAGGTGATTAATGAGACTGACCTATCTCCACAGAGAAACTCCTTGCAGTAAAATATGATTCAAACCAATCTAAGGCCCTATCTCCACAGAGAAACTCCTTGCAGTAAAATATGATTCAAACCAATCTACGGCCGAATCACAAATACCAACCTCAGTTTTTAACCTGTTTAAAAGAATACAGTGATCTACTGTATCGAACGCCGCACTTAAATCCAACAGTACCAAAACTGCACAATTTCCACAATCCAAAAATAATAACAAGTCGTTTACCACTCTTAACAAGGCCGATTCAGTGCTATGCTTAGATCTAAAACCAGACTGAAAAGGATCCAATATATTATTTTCAATTAAGTAAGGTGATAACTGATTTAAAACCTTTCTCCAATTGCTTTCTCCAATTGCTTTCTCCAATACTTTTGATAAGAATGGCAATTTTTAAATAGGTCTTTAGTTATTAAAATCAGCAGGATCCAGAATTGCTTTCTTTAGCAGCGGATGAACCACTGCATGTTTAAAACAGGATGGAACTGAACTTGTCTGTAAGGAATTGTTGATAACGGAAATAATATTAGGTGCAATTGCATCTAACTCTTCCTTTAGTAGAGTAGTTGGTATAACGTCAAGAGAGCAATGGTCGATCTTAAACTGGACACTATGTTCAACAACTCAGATTGCGAGATAGGATGGA